TCCATTTTTTTATTATTTATTTTATTTTATTATATTCCATATTTTATATTTTACGCTAATTGATTTATTTATTTTAACTTATTTATTTGAAATCTATTTGTATTATTTACTTATTGATTTTATTCAAATTTTATTTTAGTTTCTTTATATTAATCAATTTTTTATTTATTTACTTTTGTATGTATTCATTCATTTTAAATCATTTTTTAAATTATTTATTTATTTTAAATATTTTTTAATTATTTATTGATTTTATTCTTTTTTATTTGTTTTTTAATTTTTAATTTATATTATTAATGTATTTAATATATTTATTCATTTATTCTAAATGTATTTTTATTATTTATTTATTTTTATTAATTAAATTGTTTTTTTTACACTGTGGTTCTCTAAACTCTTCGGCTCCCTTGGGGCCCTCCCTTTGAAAACCCCTGGTCTGAAGTATGACACAGACTCCAGCAGAAGTGTGTTGAAGGGCAAGAGGCCACCTGTGGCGACTCATATGTGTTTGTGCGATGCATTCGAGCGGTTCAGGCGCCCACACAGACGCCACACATCCGAGCTAATAGCAGATTTCCCGTGAGAGCCGGAGCCAGGAAACATGTTTGAGTAAGCAGCGGCACAAGAGCACATCCATGCGATGCAGTCAGCGAGAGAGACGGCCGAACACAGCCGATTGAGCTTATTATTAAAATGTGAAAATCAGGAGGCGATCAGAAGCGGCCTATCAGAGAGCGAAACAGCCACACAACACAGAGACTCCGGAGGCTTTTCCCAGAGCTGACGGCCTGTTGTTGTGTATGGCAGGACTCGATTGTCACAGAAGACGGAAAGTTCAGCTCTCGAATACATTTCAGATAACAACAAGTGTCCAATGACGAGTAATTCATCCATTCACACTGAAAGCAACAATCTCAGCCAATCAGAACATGTTTGATGTTGAATATAAAGCGTCAGGATTTTGGACCAATGAGATTTCACTGTGGGCGGAGCTACCCAGCACAACAATACAGAGACAGAGACATATATATATATATATGAATATGTATATGAAGTGACGAGCAAAGACATTTCCTTGTCCATATACGTATATATATAATGTTAATTTAAAATAAATATATATAATTCAATCTTATCTATCTATATCTATATATATCTATATACATATATATATATTAACACTAGAAAGAGATTGCATTTCTGTATGTATGAACTGTATATGATGTATTTATTTGTATTATATATCTATATGTATATATATATATATATAAATGGTCCAGACCATAATTGCAAATTTAACTGCAACATGTAAATGCTGGAAATAATTCCCAATAATTGCCAACTTTATGAATTCATTGGAAATGTCATATTCAATTGGATATTTAGTATTAAAATTCCCAGACGAATTCCTCACATGTCAGATCTGGGCTATATTCAGCTGTATTGTAAATGTATGTGAGCCACTTCATGAGGCTGAGATGTTCTTTTTAAGTCCTCTCAGATGTTCAGGACGTCTTGTTTCACCATCACGACTCGCTCTGGAAACGGCAAAAGCAGCTGAAGCACAAGAGAGCAATACCTGTACAGGACTAGAGAACGAATCTTTAACCTTTTAACCATAATTGCACTCATTACTGTCCATTTAAAAGCCATCGAGTGAACATCGTCCACGAGATGAAACTGAGACGCGCTGTCTATCAATCCGTCAGCATCAGAAGTCAAATGAGAAACCGTCTGAAGATAAAAGTTCATTTAAAGGATGAGATGCGATGTTAGGACGTTGTAGGCATAATTAGTGTGAATTACACTCGTACACGGACGCCTTAAAGCGCTTCTTAAAGTGTACGAAGACCAAAATAAAACATGGTAGGTGTTCTTCATTAAAACAGTATATTTCCAGTCCCAGTCATTTTCAGCGTCATGTGGAAGAAAAAGCGGCTGATACGAGCGTTTAGTCTTTCACGCCCCTGCATGACAAACCTGTAATGAAAGCCTGTCATGAAAACGTCCATCATCGTGAGATACAGCGTGTGTGTGATGGAGAAATCATCCTTTCACTTTATGTGTTATGATCAACTGTTCATCAAATAATCACTTATAGAATTTCAATGATGAAGTAATGCCAATCACACTTCAACCTTCTTTATTTCAGATTTATTTTGCGTTATTTTAGTACATCAAGTTTAACTAAATCAAAATGAGAAATGCTGTAGCTGTAATGAAATAATTACATTTTTTCTATATTTTTTAAATGAACAATTATTTTATTTATAGACATATATATATATATA